ACGGGAGTATCAATTTTTCAATATGTTTTGGAATATTTACTCCGAGCAATCATATTTAAGGTGATGTAAAGTTTGAAAAGACTTGAAATTTTTGTCCGGAGAACTGTGAGGACGATATAGGCAAGCCTAACGCTTTATTCACTCTTATTTAAACCAAAATATATAATCCTCAATGATTAACACAGTAAGAATACTCTGAAAAATCTAACCTATACTTCTGTTCGTGTCACATCAACGGTGGATTACCAATGCCACTACTTACACAAAAAATACAAAAAAATGTAAATATATCAACTCACTATTCTAAGGCAATACATTGCATAATTATTATTATAGTAAATCAATCGACTTCTAGAAACCTTTAAATAGTAACCAACTCTACTAAGACAATACCCCTGCTCAAATATTTCTATAATAAATTAATTTAGCTCGAGAACCCCTCAAAACACTAACCCACTATCCAAAGACAATACTCCTGCTTAATTATTTCTATAGTAAATCAACCCGCCCCAAAACCCCTCCACATAATAACCAACTATCCTGATACAATACCCCTGCATAAGTATTTCTATAGTAAATCAATCCGGCTCCGAAACACTCCCTAAATAAAAATTAACCCACAAATTTCAAACTAGTAGCATAAAACTAATTTTAACTAGAATACGCGCTCTCGCCTTGGCGCTAAATGTTTGCACAAATCCCGTGAGTAGAAAACCAGACAAACCCGGCGTCGAGTGGTAAAATACTTTTATTAATATAATTATGGAATGCGGAAGTTAGCTACAAACAAGTCAAGAATATGAAGCACTGTCTCTAGTACAGGGGTTCCCAAACCGCGGCCCGCGAGCCAATTACGGCCGACGAACTTAAGTGGAATAATTTAACACTTCATGTTTTTACCTTATTGCGTTCTAGATACTGCCAATTGTTACGTCAGTATCACAGTTTAATCGCGTGTATTTTTAACAATTCAATTATACCGTTAACCTAATTATACGTACCAGTACCAGTACCGGTATCGGCTCCTTGCGGGCGCTTTCCTCACCCGATCCCGAATATCCTTTCGCTTATAGTTTTGGGATTTTGGGAATATCAAACCCCACTAACATTCGAAGGATAAAAACACGTTTTGATTTGTAACACAAGGGTGCAACTAATGGCCCTCGGAACTTATTTATGTGACCCGTAAGAGCCTTGATATCCCAAATTATTTTTTTTTTTATGTGACGGCTCGGCGTTTTCGACGTTGTGTTGAACACCCTGGGGTAAAACTTAGTCTGACAAGGATACCAATACCGTGATATTTTCATTATTGCTTTATTGTTATATAAAAATTCAAATTGTCGGATCTTTTGTACAAGGCCCACGCCATTGATGCAAAATGGGAGATTTGAGAAAAACACCCCCGCTACGTTTGAAAATAATAAAAAAATTGATAATTATCCAGTTAGGCTAATGATGTGGTTTCTGCGAGACTAATTACTTATCCTTCTTCTATTCTTTTGTGCCGGCGGATCCGTATGCATATAATGCAAGGATGCTGTAGCAAGAGTAAAGATAACTATCCTAAGTGAATTAAGAGTCTTGCTGCAAACTAACACAATTATATTTCTGTACCGTTTCGTCTGACCAAGGTCAGATTTCTTCAGACATAAATAGTTCAACTATAGTTAATTTTGAATTTTCAATGCAATCTGCATTCCTATACCCAACCCCAACCCTAACTAGATAATTATAATTTTCTTATTTTGGCGGGGGATTTGTACAAAAATTCCAAATTGTTTACCAGTAAATAAAAAAGGTTGATTACGAATGGAGAATTTTCAACACTGACCAAAGAACTGATATGCTTATTTGTACAGCAGCTATGTTTGTATATGCATTAAACAAATCTGGGATATAAAATGGTGCATAGAAAAAAATATATATAAAAAGAAAATAAATCTCTCTTTAGGCATAAGTATGCTGCTGTGAGCATACTTTAAAAATCGTCAAAAAACGTGCAAAAACGGTAAAAAACATTTTGAAACTGACGCTACGCGAGACAAAATTCAGGGAGCAGCTTACAATTGTGTCACCATATAGTTGTGCGATAATCAGTTGCACGCACTTTGATTTAGAATTGAATATTGAATCCACATTGTACATAGGTCCTCGGAAATTCTTAAGTCTAGACAATTTAAATTAATTTTCTATCACTTCTAAATAAGATTTCAGCTTGCAACAAATTTCTCAAATTTGATACTCTGCGAAAAGTTCAACTATTCCATGTAAAGATTTCTCAATTGTGCCGAACTAAAATAATTCCCGATTTTCTTTCCAGACTGATTGGCTGTCAACGGGCCAAACCCAAATAAGAACGCAAGCCTGTAACTGATTCATCCAATTCAACTTTCCAAACATGTACCCTGTGAAAAGTGCAAGTACAAATGTTCCTGTAAATTTTTCCTCAAACGTGCTCAACTAAAATAATTCCCTATTTTTTGTCCAGACCGCTCGACTGTCAACAAGCCAAGCCCATGGCGCTACAAACTATCAACACTAAGAACCTGTTGTATATCACATGAAAAAAAATTATATGTTGAGAAAATTTGATAATAGGAAAATTTGATCTTATGCTTTAAAGATATTGGAAGTCTAACAACATTTTAAATCAAAAATATAGATTGCCTAATTCAGCGGTTTCCAAATTTTCTCTTTGGCGCCAAATTATCAGGAGAAGGCAATGCTGCTTCTATATAAAACTCAAGTTTGTGATCGTTAACTTGTACTCTATGCATTTTAAAATTTGTAAACTGAAGAATAAAGTCATAGGTCAACTCTTCTTTCTCATCTCTGCCTGATTTTCCTTTGAAATTCTTAACTCACACATGTTCGCTAAACTCGGTTAAGAAGATATTAACTGCAGCTCGCGATATTGCAGCCCAGCTGGCCCAATTTATTATATTGGAAAAAACAATTTTTCAACTCTATGCAGTTTTGTTCCATTTTAAAAAACTTCACTTCTCTAAAAAATTGATAATAACACTCTTGTATTTAAGATGCGCTTATGATAAAAAAATGCAACAAATGGCTTACCTGATTGGTCAATACTTTTTTCAAATTCTCCACGAACGATCGCACACGATCCCGTCTTTTACACAACTAAATACCGCCCTACTAACATCTAAAATCCACCTACGAATTTAGTGACTTCTAAACAAATTATTGTTTCAAAACTTCCTACTTTGACAACTAACGCAGTTTTCAGCCTACAGCTACAATTGTCATTTTAACACTCGCTAATACCTACCCAGTGTGACATCACATTTGAGAAAATTTAGAACCCATAAAGGCAATTAACTGGTTAGCTTCACGCATTATTCCGCCATAAAATTAATCGACTTCCCCAGTCTCCGAATTATATATTAAACGCCCTAACTTTATTTTATTTAACGCAAAAGGTTTTATACATACCAAGATTACAACTAGAACTCTAGCATTGCTTATATTATGCATGCTCTATGCGTAAAAAACAGCGCATTGTAGAACGAAAACACCCGCCCACAAAGCCTACATTCTAACACCCAGTAACGTTCTTTTATCGGAGATATACTACATTTGTTTTCAGTTTTACGATTTTTGTAGCAAAAATTATTGATGATCGGCCAAATGTAAGCCACACCTAAAGTACTGGATCTATGCAACGTCCGTGCTTGATAAAGTATTTGTAAAAAAAACATTATCACAAAGGACGGGGTAAGTCAACAAAACTAAATCGGCCGTAACTATTCTTGTTTAAACTTGCTTCTATGGTTGAATGAGCATAAGTTCTGTCTGTGTCATGCTTGATTACGCATGATTTGAAATCTTTTTAGAAGAGGCCAGAATTGGCTGTTCGTTATATTTCGACGGTCGGCCCAATATTAACGAGCAAACCAAGTCTGCCGCGTTATGGGATAGCAAATAATATGTTCTCAAAAATTCTTTGGAATTTTGTCCGCGTTTCGGTCTGTTACGTTTTATTGTTATGTTATCGGGATAAGTCAGCTTAGCGGTGTAAATATACCAGTCTGTATTTACAAAAGTTATAAACATATTACGTCACTAATGAGGTCATACTCCAAAAAAAAAATTAAGTTGGAAATGAATAGAATCTGATCTCCACTTCATTATTTATGACGTCATCACCTCGATTTTATATTTCGATTACTATGAGAAAATACCTTACATGGTCGCATGGCTCATTCTTTAATTTATTATATCCAACAAAGTCGGCGTTACCTCTTTACACGGTGCCATAAAAGTGTTTCTTAAAGTTGGAGGGAGGGGAGGTCAGTGAGATAAACTGTAACTTAAATTTTCATTTCGACTTGTATATGTTTCGATCCTTTTTTAATTTATTTTATACTGTTGTTTAGAACTTTAGATAAAAGTATTATTTGTGTCAATTTTCATAAATAACGTTTATTGCCTCCCTGGGTGAAGCGTTACCCAAACCCAGGGAGGAATTTTTCCTTAGGGGGGATTTCAAATGTCTTTTGGGGGGGAAATTTCTATGTTGAAATTTTTCCCTACTGTGAAGTAATAAAAACGATTGAATAAATGGAATCGTAAGCAATGTAAGATACATTTTTTGCAAGTTTAGGAGTACACGGTTGTTTTCATAATGACTCCGCGCGTCCTGAGAATGCGCTTTTCTAACTAACCGCTTCCAAGCGTCTAGGATTCATTTGCGTGTAGTTTTGCTAATATTTATATATATATATAGGCATATATTATAAACTTCCCAAACTGTACAAAAGCCAGATAACTATAATTGCACGTATCACAATGAAATGTTCCGTTAAAAATTGAATAACAAATGCAATATAATTTTATTCGTACAGGGGAAGGAATTGGGAGCTTACAAATAGGTAAATGGAGCCCATAAAGTTGGGATCCACTGATGTGCGAAGATCTCCTAAAAGTGAAGGTGTAAAAAATTAAAGAAAAAAAAAACATATGGTAATTTTACATACCTGAACCTCTCATTTTTCCGTCGATGTTTAACACGGTTTGCAAATCCAAAGTACACAACTCTTGTCCTAGAAAACGGGTTGTTCTGTAAATGCAATTTACAGTTGGTAATTAAATAAATTACTATATATAAAAGGCTGATATAAATTCATTTTTATGGAAAACCGTTTTGTGGGGTTTCAAATTCACTACAATTAGTAAACATCAATTCGATTTCAGCAACAGAGTTGAGCCAGGAATTTTAAAAGTGGGAGTTGGGGGGGGGGGGATTTATGATTGTCAAGTTAGATCGTAACAGCTAGCGGATTTGAATTAATGGTAATATTTAACTGTTACAATATATATTTATTGAAATCCCGATAAATAATCATAGGACAGGATTTATATGAAGAATTGGACCTCTAGAAATATGTGCACCAAGATGGCGCACAACCTGAACATAGTATGTGTACCAGGTTAAGGTGGTTCAGGTTGTGCGTCATCTTGGTGCACATACTTTGGGAGCGCCGAAGAATCCGCCGAAAATAATTTATGATGGTATCGTATTAATTTGGTAGTTTTGGAGATAAAGAGATAATAAGCATTATATCAGTGAGAGAGCTTATGCAAACGTATGTATTCTATGAATTCATAAACAAGTTGTCTGTAATCGCCAATTTGATGTCTCGCATTCTCACACAAATTTGAAAATTTTGATACTTTCAACAAAGCATTAACTCAAAGACAAAATTCATAATTTTGCCGTAGGATATTACACTGCAGATCCGAAGCTAAAATTCTGCCGAAAAATTCATTTTTGTATCGTTTTCCTACGACTCTATGGCGCCTCAACGGTCAAGACACAGATCTTACTATCGACCTCAAAGCAAAATTCAATTCGTTTCAGAAGATAGGTACGCGTCTTTCTGCAATATATACACATATATATGTATTTTTTCTAATCCGACATTTCGCCTCGCTTTCTCCTCCCCCCTCTTGACGAAAAAACTTGATGAAAATAGCCGCATATGGAGTAAATTTTAGAATATATCAGAAATCACCTTTCATGAAGGCCTGAAAAAATGCCTTGAGGAAAGTTGCATCGAAAAAGAACGCAGCCAAACTTTAAATTCTAGTTTAAAATATCATTTTAACATACCTGGCTGCTAGAGTATTCTTTAATTATACTGCGCGACTGGCTTTCAGACAGACAAGTCTTCACATTCGTGGAATGTTGTTGTTAGTGTGAGCAATAGCGCGTGTAAAGAAAAGCAGCGCTCAAAATGAATTGTCCTTGTTTTCTGAAATTTAATAACTTCCTGAATGGTTTATTTACAGCATTACGAAACAGATGACTTACCGCAAACTCGAGTCGCTTGGTGACACCAATGAGCAGCAATGAGATTGACTGTAAATTTTTCTCAGCCATGCAGCCCCGTTTACGATCCAGATTTGACCATTTCAACAATTTTATTTGAATCAATTAATGTGAAACTTCTGTTATAATCTATTCATATAATATATTAATATAGAATGATCCTAAAAAATATTGGCCTTTTACATAAAGAATTCAAATTCGCTTTTTATGGAGTAAACCACGACAAACGATTGGCTTGAAACAAACTCAAGTGAGTAAGTAATTTTAACTCAAGTAATTTTAAATTATCAGCATATAATGTAATATAGGGAAGGAGTCCAAGTAGTAAAATGTAAAAACAAACGTATTGCGAATTTGGGGGGAATCGCTCCCCGTGCCGAATTTAGGTTTTTATTGGCCATTAAACGTTGCCAAAAATCTGTTGTAAAATAGCAAAAAGATTTTTGTTTGCTCCAATAAAAATTATTGTTCGGGGTTATTTGCTCACAAAATTTGCATTTAAGAGGAATGGACTAAAAGGGAAAAAAAATTAAAAATTCACTTTACTCACAAAATATAAAAATTTTGCACTTACTAAGTGTGATCTGATTGTACAGTTAGTTATATATATGTGTGAGTAGGCATATGATTAGAGATTCTACAAAAAATATGGTCATTTAAAAATTCCGATTATTTTGTACAGAGAAAAAAAAAGCCAACTCTTAAAATAAGAAAATTAGTTATTATCTAGTTAGGGCTGGGGTTATTAATAATGCAGATTGCGCTAGAAGTTAAAATTTTTAAATTATTCCTAACCCTAACTTTATAATTACTAATCTTTTATTTTCAAACAAATCATTACTAATTGCAACTGGGTAATTACTCGTTTTTTATTTAAAATGTGGCGTTTTTCTTCAAATCTTATATTTTTGCATCAGCGGGGCTTTGTACAAAAGACCCGAAAAATTTCACTTTTGACTCGGGTTTTCATCGAACTCTCTGTGAAGCTTCTGCACAAGGAAAGCAAAAGCTGTCAGTTAACGCGAGGAAGTACTCAACTCATGTGATCATATATAAATATAATTGTTTGATCCACCCGGCCTTTCACCTGAGTAAATAATTGTATGGATATACAAGGGGAAATGAACGATTAAACCGATTTAGGGGAGAATATAAATCAGGTGCACTTACGTCTGTGTTGCACTTACGTCAAACTCAACGAATTTCTTGAGCTATGTTTTAGCTAAAACATCAAAATCTGGGTTTGATTTGGTCGTGACAGCATTAGGCGGGCCAGGTTGAATTACCCAATGGGTCGGAATTGCTCATGTCAACTACAGCTTCTACTACATTTGTGTCTAAAACTACCCCACTTGAGATGCCATCACACACCGCGAAAAAACCAATCGATTACCAATAAAAAAAATATTTTTTTTAGTCCCCCCTTTTCATTTTCTATTTTCAACTTGAGTAATGGCTGATATTTTTACGAATTGAGATATGACATCAATTTATTTGTTTATTATGTTTTGTTTAATCAATTCGTCCTACATACATTTGTAAAACAAATAGCCCGTGTTAAAAGTTCAATCTGTTGACATACGACACTCCTTTTACACAATATCTGATGGTAAAGATTGTTTGCCAAACAAATATTACAAAAGTGAATAGTGGGCACCAAGCAGGGCATTCTAGTAGAACTAGTTTGATTTCAAATGGCGTGGATAAGGATTTGTACATTTATGAAGATTCTTTCGACTGGTTTCGAGTTCAAAAAGGCTACAGAACAATCATTTAATTATGTTATTGTTGATATCAAAACGGATAAAATGTCGCGCTCGAAGTACTGGAAAAGGAATAGTACATTTATCATGAGAGACGGGAGAGCGGTTAAGACAGCTTAAAAGGATAGCAGATTATCGTTTCGTTAGTTTTACCGATTACCAGTCAAACAGGGCTGTCAAATTTTCAGCTAATCGATGGCTCCAATTGCATAGACGTTAACGTGCAATCAGTAACGCAATGACAAGCGTGTCCCTAGAACAGGGGCGTGCAACGAGCGGCCCGCGGGCCTCAACCCGACCCAGCGAGCCATTTAGTATGACCCTTGTCGACACAGGTTTTTCCCTATCAAGAATAAAACCCAACCCAACAGTTTTTGTTTAAAGAGTCGCTCACGTGAGTAAAAATACATAGTGTTCATTCTGATAAATTTATCAAGATAAAATGTATAGCAGTGGTTCTCAAACGAGGGAGCGCGCCAATTTTCCGAGGTTGCGTGAAGCTGATTAAAAATAACAATATTAGTTAGATTGATCTTGCCCGCGTTATTTTGGATATTTACATTTCTTTAATGTTAAGAGACTGCAGGGAGTTGTTTATCCGTTCCATACACGTATTTACAAGATGTTTTGTAAATAAAACATGCATTCGCCTCACAATCTGTTATTTGTAGCTTATTGTTAGCTAGTTATTTTTGATGTTTGAGGTGGGGCGAGAGACTTGACAAATTCTAAAATAGGGGCACGGCCTAAAAAGTTTGAGAACCACCGTCGTAGAGAATAAATATTCTTTCACACAAAGACCGTTTTGGGGAACTATATTCACCGAGTAGATTCAAGGGAAGCCATTCAGTAATTTTTTAAATAAGCTGTTTTTGCGCAACATGACTGTTCCAACTTTTCCCGAGCCCTGATTGGATTAAATATGTAAAACACATTCATAAAATCGCACGTAAATTTTAATCGTTATTTATATTTATTTCTGTAGTCAATGGCTCAATTTGCGAAAGCGAAACAAAAAACGGTAATTATGAATGCTTTGTGAGATCACTAAGATCATAAGCACAATACACGAATTACTACAAGCTTTGTGTTGTCACAGAGGACATATGGAATTACAAAGTCCTTGTTAGAATTGTTATCAGCTGTAATTGTGTGAAGGGGGTCGCTCAACTAAAAGACGAGAGTACTAATAGAAGAGTTGTAAGTTTGTTCAAAAAAAGGTAAGTCCCGAGCTCTTAATTAACTGAAAGTACAAAGAGCACTGATAGAAGAGTTGCGAGTTTGCTCAAAAAAAGGTCCAGATCCCACCAACTAAAAGTAGGAATAGAAGAGTTGCAGGCTTGGTCATGGGTCCCGATGTTTCAGTTGAAACAGGAGAGGACAGGCAATAAAGAGTTCCTAGTTTGTTCAAATCAGGGTCCCGAGCAGCCTCCAACTAAAAAGTAAAGATTACTGATAGAAAAATTTATGTCATCTACCCTTGAGAAGAAGAAAAATGAGAGTAAATATACGTTTATTTTCATAATAGATATCTCGAAAAATTTAACACGAGATTTGAAACAAAGTTTATACTGTCGAGAATATAGTCAGAATTTCTCAAATCAACAGCCCGTATTATCATGGGAACAACGAACAATGTTTAATTATGTTGATAAATGAGCCCCTGGGTCAGAAAGTGCTGCTCATACAAACAAAGGAGTTATTCTAATTCGTATTTAATGATGCTGCAGTTTGTTTTTCCGATTATTTATAGTTTTATCACGTGTGCTTTCGGTGTTGAAACAAGCCTGCTTGTGTTACAGGCAATGTCCATCATCAGGACGAGAGAGTGCGGAGAGACAGCTGGGAAGTTGTACGATATTGAAGGTTATGTTTTGCCAACCAGAAAAAGCAAGTTATGACATCAACAA